CATGGACACAGTTTCCGAAATCCGCTCGACCATCGATACCACAATCGACATGTCTAAAAACCGTGAATACACGTTTTGGGCCTTTTCCTTTCTTTCCCTTAACTTCTCCCATAAATGTGTTAAGCCGTGTGCGCTGTCACTCTCACGATTGCTTAGTTGGGTTAAAGTGCTAATTGACAGTAAAGGGCATGCTCTCATTCTTCTTATCTTACATCGCATTACTGTGTGATCAGGGGATGTAGTCAACCAATATGAATATCATTCATTTATTAAGTATTTAGCTAATTTTTCTCGTTATTAGAATTTTATATTGTTTCAACTGTAACGAATTTAGCGCGTTCGTGATTTTACTGTTATCACGAATATCATTTCATTTATTTCTATTCTCATCACGCATTTCCCGTCTTGACCTGATCTCGAAGTGACAAACAGCTGGGTGATCTGACCTCACTTTCACTCCGGGCCACTTAACACGTTGATATGGCTGAGAAACAGCTAGCCGTTTCCATTAACTGTTTTTTAATTGGTTACAACATAGGGATAATGCATAGCAACGTTATATGTTCATTGGTGACACGTTCTTTGTGCGTTAGAACAGAGCTTGTAACGCGATTTTATATACATTTATCATTTTGAGTATGCGTTAGTATTATCCCTATATCATAGTGCACAGAATGCCTGATTTACCCGAGGCTGCATATATGCCTATTAGATCTATGCTCCGACTGAACGATAGTAAGTTCGGCAACCTTTGAGCCGGTGTGACTCACAGTTACATCCGTTAATTAATGTAGGACTAGGGTTTAAACTAGAATTGTTATTCACTTATTAATCACATCTTGCTCACCCACTAGACGTCGCTGGCATGTTTGGGTAAATCTCAAAGATCGTGTGATTCTATCACGAGCGCCCATCGCAGATCCGCAGCACAGAGTGGGTTATTTATAAATTTTCCCTGCTCGTTTTCGCTTTGTATAGTACGGTATTTTTGGGTATAGACCCCACCATCAATGAAGTCGGCATGCGCAGCTAGACATGTGGCTACCTCGGGAGATTTGCTGACCCCGAGAAGATTCACTTGCAAAAGCTTGCGAATATTTTTCACGTCACCATTCATTAGTGCGTCATTCTGTCGCATATCATGAAATGCTGAATTCAGTGTGGTGGTTGAAATACTTTTGTATTACTTCTATAGCTTGATTATTGCATTTTGGTGAAAATGAACATTAATCTAAGTGTTTGGCATACATGTTCGCTCTGTGAGGTCACTCTCACTGTCATTCACGCTCCCTGTCACTCACACTTGCACACACACACGCTCACTCACTCACTCATCCACGCAGAATAAAAGACACTGAAACCTTTCATTAATAGGGTTGGCTGCTGTCGTATTTGCAGGCGTAAAGATCTATGACGTATCTCTTTTGCCCGCGATTTCGTCAGTCGTGACGAGTGACTAGTACATGATTTCTTATTTTTACGTACACTTCTTCTCTGTGTTACGGAAATTGGTTCAAGTTAATCCTTGCGGATTGCCGTTGTCGTTTCCCTTGTTTACTCTTATGTCTATCAGACACGGTTGGTAATTCAAGCTAGGTCCTTGAGGATCGCTACTAACGTCTCCCTCTTCTATTTTACTTTGTGAAAAAAACGAAAATAACGTAAAATCGCTCGTTAATATCTGCAATTTCTATAAATAATCGGCTAGTGGCGCTTAACACCCCCTCTTATCTGTTGTATTTCTTTATCTCTTACTATCTTGGACCTTACGTGTATAATCTGGTTCACCAATATCTGACACGGCACCGAAGGAGGACCCTGCTTCAGAAACGGTCACCTTAGGATGCTGTGGGAAGGACGTCATCGGAAGATCGCCAGACACCTGGAGACCGGGATGTTCGTCAGAGCAGGTACCAGTCGTCCCATGATGCTGTGGATGGGCGCCACCTACCTGGACGCCCGCATATCCAGTCATACTCCAGGAGCTTGTCAGCGAGTCAAGGAGGACCTGTGCAAGACCTTCGGGGACGTGTGGACATCGAGGACGGATTTACCAGAGACCAGGATGAAGGTGATGTCAAGGACGAGCAGCCACGAAGATGCACCAGGGACAAGGCACGCGAGAACGAAGTAACTAGCAAGTCAGGACCAGCCAAGTTAAGTCACCTTTGAGGCAAATCTAAGGCACCTCGAGGGCGTGGCGTTAGTAGGTGGCCGAGCAATATATCTCTTGCTGTACTCTTCAGAAATAAAGAGTCAGCCGTGTTAACAACTATTAATATTCCTGCATAACCAATGTTTAAGGCATCATCTAAATACCTTTTACAGAGAGAGAGTGAGAAAGAGAGAGGGAGAGGGGAAAAGAAAGAGAGAGAGAGAGTGTGTGAGAGTGAGAGTGCGATAGAGAGAGAGAGAGGGAAAGAGAGAGAGAGAGAGAGGGAAAGAGAGAGAGAGAGAGAGAAGAGAGAGAGAGAGGAGAGAGAGAGAGAGAGAGAGAGAG